CCTCCTCTTTTCCTGTTTGTTTCAATCCCGGAATTGTACGGCACGGACTTGAATTAGCAACAAACAGTACAATTCTGGATTCCAGTTCTAGGCCAAGAAAAAGTTGCCAAATTAAGAAATCTAGTTTGTTTTGCCTCGCAGGTTCGTCAAAGCCTGATCTTCAAGTATACTCAGCAGAGTACGTTCTGCATACGGTACTCACGCTGCGTGGCCTTACCAGCAGCATACTGTACTGTACGTACAGAGTACTTTGCTGCTCAGCAATAAAGTGTTCGATTCCTTCGCTTCGGGTTCAGCTCAGAGATTCCGTTCTGCATGCAATCCTAAACGTGCAAAATAAACGCATGGAGTGATGCGAAGCCAGATCTACTGCTGCAAAGGCAGTGGGAAAAACGGGGCCGGGGGAGGCGAGGGGAGAGAGGGGAAGAGAGGGGGGAAGGGAGGGGGCAAGGGAGGGAGAACGAGAACAGAGGTCAGAACGATCAAGGAGGCCGACTACATTATTCATTGATTGAGGATCCAACCCAAATTCCAAAATCATCAATGCGACCAAGTAACATTCTGATCATTTTTTTCATACAATTTTAGAAAACAGTACTGGCATTCCCTCCTTTAGTTGACACCACGACCTCTGTCGACCTTCCTTTCCTTTACGTGACACCGCGCACTCCAACCCTGCGCAATCGTTACTTAGAGATTGATGCCAACGAAAAGAACATAAAAGTTGAATATTGGCAAAATTGGAAAATCCTCCGAGCCGCGCAAATGGACACACACACACACACACACACACACACACACACACACACACGCACGCACACACACACACACACGCACACACACACACGCACACACACGTGCGCACACACGCGCGCACACACACACGCACGCACACACGCGAGCTCAGAAACGCACACACGCACGCACACACGCGAGCTCAGAAACGCACACACGCACGCACACAGGCACACACGCACCCCATCCCGATCTCCTCTTTGTCCCCATTACGCCTCCATTTGATACCTCTACGGCATGCGTGCGCCCTCCACCCTCATCAGTAAATTTTCATCACAATGTTAACCGCAATATTTTTTCTCAACAAATGCATACATACATCTGTATCCACCCATGTCTTAGTCAGACAGAAACACACCTACAGTCTAACAAAGGTCTTAGTCATTTTCCTTCATGAGAGCTGCCTCTGTGTTTGGCTTCTCGCCTCGCACGCGGACATTGGCTCCGTTTCCTGCTCCCATGCTTTCCAACACACGTCCACCCCTCGCACGCCGCCTGTGGCAATGCCCCTGTGATCTAACGACTCCAGATATTTTTTTATGACCAACCCAGGACTCGGAACTCATGCTCTTGTTACTAACTAACAGTTACATGAGTGGGAACCATTCAGCCCGCATGAGCGGCGGGTAGACTCCAGATTTCACTCCACCCTCATCCACACAAACCCTTCGGACCCGAAGAGCCCTCCTGTACCCAGTCCACGCAGCACCAGACTTCGCCCCCATCGCCCCGCAGGCCCGCCCTCACGTCTCCCTTCCCATGAATAATCCCAAAGAAAAAGAAAACAACGCAAAAACATAACTAAAAACAATGCTCCTGCGCATAAAGCTAAGACTACAGGGACGCTAATTTAGACGCGCTGTTGTTCCAGTTCTTCCTCCCTGCCCTATGCAGGCTGCAAAAAGCTGCTGCTCCCAACAACACTGTATTCTATAACGCGCGCACATGTATTCGCGCTCAACCGGGCTATAACAAAGCCTTCCAGGAGTCCTCCACCCTCTCGTTCACGATGGGGCCGGGGCGTAAATAGCGCACGAAATGTTCGCGCTCAACCTTATTGAAGCACGGGCAGGGACTACCAGGTGCAAGCATTGGCGAATAATTGATTACCCGCCGGGTAGGGTAGAGCGTGGCACCCACGTCTCATCAGGCTGAGAACTTCATAAACCTCCTCAAATCTAGTCCCACGTCAAACAGTAAGTAACAAATAATATGAGTACATAGGAAAACAAAAGCCCAGGCAACACCCACCCATGCCTGAAACTTACTCTATAACAACATCAACCACTAAATCTCAACTACACACATATCATTTTTTCCTGATACTTCATTGAGGGCATCTGCACAAATACAGTACGTAGCCCGATCATCAACTCACTGACGCTCTCTCTCTCTCTCTCTCTCTCTCTCTCTCTCTCTCTCTCTCTCTCTCCCTCTCTCTCTCTCTCTCTCTCTCTCTCTCTCTCTCTCTCTCGCGCGCGCGCGCGCGCGATCTCACTTGGAACCCTTGCCCTCCCTTCGTCTCCCTCAGCTGCAATACTACTTCCTGGCCCCTACTGACGGACTGCAAACGTCGCCACACCTCGTCATGACGAAAGCAGGCAATTGAATGCAACTCGGGACGGGTACATACTGTCCTTGCCATGAAAGCTTCCCATTCTCCCATCCATACAACCCCTCATATCGCCGAGACGATCATGCGATAGCGACAACTTTCAGCCATTTCTCTCTCTCTCTCTCTCTCTCTCTCTCTCTCTCTCTCTCTCTCTCTCTCTCTCTCTCTCTCTCTCTCTCTCTCTCTCTCTCTCTCTTT